GCCAGTGGAGCAGGTCGGTCTGTTCTGGGAATGGCTCCTCTGGCCGGTCACTGATTTCTCTCTTGAGGTCCAGAACTGGATTCTCCCCAATGGGTGCTTCTGAGGTATCTGGATCTGCTGGAAATTAGATAGGAGGCTCCGGTTCCACAGCTGCAGGTCTAGTTACAGATTCCTGTCCTGGGGTTGTAATGACGATATTACTTTTGGCATGGACACAGTAAAGACTTCAGAAGCATTGATGCTGACCATTGTAATGACTGAATTCCTATTTTCTCTTCCCTGCTTGGCCATGACTTATGCAAGTGTTTTGCAGATCAAGAATCCCCATGTTTGTGGTAAAGGCCAAGATGCTGTGTGAGCTGCAAGAGCCCAGGGGCCCCTGAAGGCTTCCCATGGTCCTGTTTCTAACCACGCAGAAGCTACAGCCTCGAGCCCTTCCCAGCTCAGGAAGACTCAAAGGTCGACTCAGATGGGATAGTCCATTTATGGAATGGAGTAGGGAGAAGAGAAAGCCCAGGTGGGAGCTGGAAGAAAAGGGGCTGGAGGCTCCAGGTCCTCAGGGCCCTCAGGTGCAATGAGCTGAAGTCTCATTACCGTCGGTGAGACCCTTGCTGTCATTGTCAGGCCAGGAAGATGCCCGGGCACAGGGGGACCCAGACCTCTCGGCGGGCGCGCAGGAACAAGGGCAGGCAGCCAGGCGGAGAGCTTCTAGTTTGCTTATATTTGAACCCAAATGAGGTAATTTGTTAATTGTGGGTGGTGCCTATCTGCCTGTCTGCCATATTATTTTCTGTGTGCACACAATCTTTTTTAACCTCAAATGTTTTTAATTTAAAAAAGTTTTGTTTTTTGAGACAGTCTTGCTCTGTCACCCAGGCTAGAGTGCAGTGGCACAATCATGGCTCACTGTACCCTCAACCTCCTGGGCTCAAGTCATCTTCCCACGTAGCTGGGACTACAGGTGAGTGCCACCATGCCCAGTTTTTTAAATATATATATATGCGTGTATTACATATACATGTGTATTATACACACACGTGTATATATATACACATACACACACATATAACATATACATATGTGTGTGTGCGTGTGTATAAATATATTTTTTTTTTTTTGGTGGAGACCAGGTTTTGCCAAGTTGCCCAGGCTGGTCTCGAACTCCTGGGCTCAAGTGATTCTCCCGCCTCGGTCTTCCAAAGTGCTGGGACTACAGGTGTGAACCACTGTCCCCGGCCTTGAATGTTTTAAATGACGCTTGGCTGGGAAGGTCCAGGTTTGGGTTGGAGGCACCAGTAGGAGACAGGCCCAGGTAGGAGAAGAGCAGGTGAATGAGGTGGGGGAGGGTTGGGCCAAGGAGGCAGGGGAGGGAGGAGTTAATGAGTTAGGAGCAGGGTCAGAGAATGCTCTGGGGTCTTGGTGGCCCGGGGGCTCTCTCTTGTCCAAGGCGCCATCTGTATCCCACCCATCGTTTTTCCTCTCCAGCCCCCTGCTTTAGTTAGCTGTAGACCCTGGAAGTTGAGGAGACAAAGAATAGTTATTTTCTGCATCTCCTGGAAGCTCCTTTAATGTTGGAAATCCACTGCCCCCTGGGACTGGCAGGATGAAAGGGCCGGGAGAGGGAGGGAGCTGACCAGAGGAGCTGGTGTGGGAGGGCAAGTCCATGATGCAGATGCTGAGCAGCCCTGGGCGTGTTCGATGCCTCCCCATGCCTCCCGGCAGCTTCTGCTCCAGCAGGACCAAGGTCCTGGCTCTACTGCATAGTGAGGTGTGAAAACCCTAGCCTAGAAAGAACCGCCTGGCAGAGACGAGAATATTTCAGAGTCCTTGGTTAAGCCCGGATAACTAGGTCTGCAGGAAGGAGTAGCACCAAGTCACGATCTTGAACCCCAGTGGTCCCAGAGCAGCCAGCACCTTCCCACCGGTGTGAGCCAGCGGCAAGGACTCTGCCCCGACCTGGCTCCTGGAGCTGCCCTTGGGAGCCAGCTGGACCTCCCTGAAGGGCCCTCTCTGTTCTCCACGGGCCCTGGGAACGTCACCGTCAAACTGCAAACAGACACGTTCTGGCCCAATTTGGCTTGCAAGAACGTCTCCTACAGGAATTCTTTTGCATGTGGTCCAAGACCCACATATAGGGCTGCGGTATCAGCCGAAAATCGAATCAGCCTGGATGCTGTCAACAGGCCCAACACGGTGGGGCACGTGAATACCATGGACGAGCTTGTGCCAGCTGCACTGTTCCACGTGGAACTGACTCCAAGAGGCGCTGTGGTCACTTGGCAGACGGGAGTTGCCGCCTGTGCGTCCAGCTGTCAGTTATGCTTGAGGAGGCGGGGCTCAGATCACTTATGCAGGAAACCATGACATGAACTCTCTGGTGAGGGTGTCCAGGACGAGGAGCTCTGAGGCAAACAGGCTTCTTCTCTGTTCCTTTCCTCTGGTGCCTTCTGCACGTTGTGCCAAGAGGGAACATCCTCTCCTCCAGGTACAACTAAACACACCCCGCAAGGTGCCCAGCGAGTCTGGGTTGCAGCCATCAGACACTGGCCCTGGAACTCCTGCCGGCACCTGGGGAGCCCGCAAACCTGGCCTGTTGACCATCAAGGAGCGTGTGTCCCTCGGGGCATCGCAGATGGATGTGCTTTGGCAAAACTGCACAAAACGTCACATGATGCTGCTGTAATTGGGTGGACAGAGAACTGGGCACTAAAGCTGGGATGTCCACATGTGGTGTTTGTGTTAAGAAGATAATTATTGGCCGGGGGCAGTGGCTCAGCCCTGTAATCCCAGCACACTGGGAGGCTGAGGCAGGAAGATCGCTTGAGTCCAGGAGTTTGAGACCAGCCTGGGCAACATGGCGAGACCCAGTCTCTACAAAAAAAAAAGCTGGGCATGGTGGTGCACACCTGTGGTCTCAGTTACTTGGGGGGTTGAGGCGAGAGGATTGCTTGAGCCCAGGAGGTCGAGGCTGTAGTGAGCCGAGATCGCACCACTGCACTCCAGACAGGGTGACAGAGTGACAGACTGTTTTTTTAAAAAAAGATAATTGTTATACTTTTACTCAATAAAACAAAGGGTTTCATTCTCCCTGGGCTCTGGACGAGTCATCTCTTCTTCCACCAGCAAAACGGGGAGAGGGAGGACGACAGCCACGTCTGAGGCTCGCCGTACAGCCTGGTCTCTCCATTTGGGGCAACTCCCCATTTTCGGGGGTGGGGGACATTAGCACCCTGACCTTGTGCTCCTGCAGCAAGTCTGGGCCTCTGGGCATTGCCGTTTGCGATTTATGGGCACCTGGCACAGAGCAGGTGCTGGACGCACATTTACTGACCATGTCCCCGTGCCATCGGCCTTCTGGTATCCTAGAAGCGAGACTCTCCCCCAGCTGTGCCCGGGAGCCTCAGCAGCACTCCCTCCTCCAGGCCACAGGCAGTGGGTGCTGTGTTCATCCCCATCCTACAGAGGAGGGAACTCACGGCAGGAGGGGGAGGAACGGGGGTGGGGCCAGATGGTAAATATTTTAGGTTTTGTGGGTCGACTCCAAGGATAATATGCAAATGAGCAGGTGCAGCTGTGGGTTTTTTTTTTAATCATTTTTATTTCTTGAGAGACAGGGTCTCGCTCTGTCACCCAGGCTAGAGTACAGTGGCACAATCACAGCTTACTGTAGCCTCAACCTCCCAGACTCAAGTAATTGTCTCGCCTCAGCCTCCTGAGCAGCTGAGCCCACAGGAGCACACCACTGCACTCGGCTAATTTGTCCATTTTTTTTTGCAGAGATGAGGTCTCCGTATGTTGCCCAGGCTGGTCTCGCACTCCTGGGCTCAAGCGATCCTCCCGCCTTGGCCTCCTAATGTGCTGGGATGACTCATGTTCTAATACAACTTTCCTTGTGGTGTGGGCACCAAAATCTGAACTACACATAATTATCACGTATCACGCAACATTCTTCTTTTGATATAACAAGGAGGTGAAATCACAGAAGATTGAATAAGTCAGAGGTTAAGCAACCAGCCCCAAATAACCCGATTCCCCTCCACCAGCAGACCATGCACCCCCGAGAGAGATGCCTTTGCTGGGGAAGAAGCGGGGAGGAAGAGAACTAGGGCCCAGAGCGGGGACACCATCCACGAGTGACCCAGGCTCTTCCAAGCCTGCGGCAGGCACCTGCCTTCGTGCCCAGCCCCTTCCTGGTGCTGCCTTCTCTCCAGATGCTCTCTCCTTTGCCTTCTTCTTCCAGGAGCCCGGGCACACTTCTTAATGGCTCCTGGGGACCAGGAGATGGAAAGGAGGGGGCAAAGGTAATGCTGGAGGTGGAAAGAGGTTCAGGCAAGGGTGGCCCACCCTAGGGCTTGGCCTGTCCTCTGGTCAGCCCCTACCCCCGCTGCAGACTCCCCCCACCTTGGCTGCCAGCACAGCTCAGCACAGGCCAATCTTTCCCGAGGCTTCAAGAGCCCCAAAGTGCTGGTCATCCAGCCAGAGGCCATCGTGGGCCTCCCCATTCCCCTGGGCTTGCCCTGCATCTCCGCGTTCGGTCACAGGCGCTGTTCCTCCGAACCTGGAAGCTCTAAACCGACAGCCCGTCTTTTTCCTTTATTCCCATGCGAAAGCCATACCTGCCCACTCTGTTTCAGGTCAGTTCCACCACGGATGCTGCAGTGGGAAAGTCAGCGTCCTTTCCGGGGACGGCCCCACTAGGCACAGACCCTCAAGGCCCTGCGGCCCCAGATGGGAGGGCTGTCCCCGCACAGCAGAGGATATTTTCTGAGCTCACCGTGGTTTGCGGTAACCACCATAGCACCTCTGCCTACAGAGCCCTCATCCGGTCTCCCACTGCCTGCCGCCCCCACCCCCAACCACGTGGTCTGTCCCAGGCAGCCTCTAGAACTGGGTGGGGGTTTCCACAGGGACCTGGCCAAACCCACTCTAGGAAGAGCCTCTGGGGCCCCGGGGGAGGTGGGAGGGAGGGGCATTCAAGGGGGGGTCTGGGGAGAGCCCACCTTGCTCTTCTCCTGCTGCAGCTCGATCTGGATGTCTGTGAGCTTGGCTCGAAGCTCCTCGTTGGCCGCCTGCAGCGCCGCGAGGGCCTCCGCCTTGTCCCCCTTGGCCCGGCTGCCCATGCCTCTCTTGGACATGGTGAGGCTGGATGGCCGGGGGGATGCCCAGGGGCAGGGTGCTCTGGCTGGGCTGGGCTGGGGGTGGCTGGGGTGTCCACGCAAGCTCCCAGCAGGTGTCACCCGGGCTGCCGCTGTGCTACATCTTCTCATTCACCTGGAGGGAAAGCACACCGGGTGAGCAGCCCCTCCGGAGCCTCGGCCTGCAGCTCAGGGGCTCGTGTGCGAGGGGGGCACACGGACCCCCTACCTGCCCTCATCCCAGCGCTGAGGATGCCACCTGCACTGCGCAGGCCAGGGAACAAGCCCCAGACAGCAGAGCCCATCGGCCCGCCATATGGTGCCCCCAAACAGCGACCCCACATCTAAGAGCACAGCCCTGTGCCTGGCATGGGATGAACACTCAGCACAGGCGGATTCTTTTCCCCTTCGGAATCAGAGAGGGAGTGGGCACCCAGCTTCGAACTCGGAATTCTGTACGTGACTGTGAGGCCACACTGCGGCAATAGTGAGTATAAACCATGAGTTCTCCAACAGCAGAGGGACCCTGTGACCGGGCTCCTCCAGAGACCCGAAAGCTGCACCCAGGAAATGCCCAGCAGTACTGAAAGCAGGAACTGGAACAGAAGCGCATGCCCAGCTCACAGCAGCACAATCCAGGGAGCCGCACAGTGGAGGCAACCGGCGTCCATCAACGGATGAGTGGCTACACAAAACGCGGAATATCCACGTAATAGAATATGATCCAGCTGTAACCAGGAGGGAGATTCGGACACACGCTACAACAGCAGGATCCCCGAAGAGATTAGGCTGGGTGAAATGAGCCGGTCACAGAAGGATAAACCCCGCATGATTTCACATATATATTCAGGATCTATAGTCAGCAAACCCGGGAACAAAGTAGAATGGTGGCTGCCAGGGGCTGCCAGGAGAGGGAACGGGAGCTACTGTTTAATGGAGATGGATTTTCTTTCTGTTTTTGGAGATAGGGTCTGGCTCTGTGTCCCATCAAGGGGAGTGGCTGTAAATACACAGGAAGCTTCACTCCCTCGCCCGCTACTTGCCTCCTGCTGTGTGGCCCAGCTTCGAACAGGCCACGGACAGGTACTGATCCATGGCCAGGCACCAGGGACCTGGTGTAGGCAACCAGTGATCTCCACTGGTCACAGCAAGTCCTCCAGATTCAACCCCAGGGAAGCTTCTCACTGTCTAAGAAGGGGTGATTGGACGAGGCTAGTGGGATCCTCACAATTTCCTTCTGTGCTGCCAGGCACCTTCCCCAGCTGTTCCTCTCTCTCAGAGGCTCCCCCGCCCCCACAAGCTACTCTTCTCCTCCAGCCGCTCCTTTCTCCCTCTGATGTTCCTCTCTGGCAGCTGCTTCTCTACCCCAGCTCCTACCCCAGATGTTCCTCTTGGCTGCCTAGAGGGGCAAGGACCCCTGGTGTTCCTAACAGGTCCACTGGGCTCCTCTGTGGCCCTCCTGCTCCTGGGGCCTCCATCTCCACCATGACCAGCTTTCCCTCTTATCCTTGTTTACCTTCTGCTCTTGTCACCTGTTATAGGGCAGTGAAGGCAGCCAGGATGGAAGGAAGAAGCAGGCAGATCAAACATGGGATCTTTCCCAGTGAACACAGCCCCCATCCCCCCAACTCCTGCTCCCATTTCCTGATGATCACAGGCCCACCCCACACCCGCATCTCCTCTCCCAGTGAACACTTTCCCCCACCCCACTCCCGTGTCTCCTCTCCTGGTGAACACGGGCCACCATCACTCCTGCATCTCCTCTCCAGCCTGGTGAACACAGCCCTCCCCCTACTCCTGTGTCTGTCTCCAGCCTCCTATTTATCAGTTCATGGGACCATGGGAGGGAGACTTGGATATGGGTCCTGCAGTTTGATGAAGGCCAAGCTGTGTGGGTGTGGGGCTCAGAGACCAGCGGAGGTGGCAGGACGGGCAGGTGGGAGGGCCACAGGGCAGCCAGGTGGGCTTCCAGGGGCAAGCGAAGATGGCCTCACAGAGGGAGAGTGAAAGGAGGGTCGGAGGCGACCCACCAGGAGGCGATGCAGACACCAAGGAACCACGAGGAGCCTGAGTGGCTGAAAGGTGAACTGGGAAGATGCTGGGCATGTCTCACCCTGCAGGGCCACCGGCCTCCACCTGGACAGGGAGAAGGGCCCAGCAGGGTGGATGTCAGCCCTGCACATGTGAGGCGGGGGCTGAAGGGACCAGGCTCGGGCAGATGGCAAAGCTGGAAGCTGTCATGGGGTACAGAGGGAGGAAGGTGCCCTCAGGATGCCACTCCAGACCGAGGGGATGGACCCATGGACGGGGCTGAGGCTGTGCCCACGTCGCCCCGCAGACGTCACCAGAGGCATCTTCATTTACAAAGGAGAGGGTGCTCACCGGGCCCAGCACGCTGCCTCTCTCCCCTTTCCAGCTCCGTCCTGAGGACAAAACCCCAGGCAGCTTGGGAAAGGCCTGAGAAGTGTGCAAGAAGAGGGGCTTGAGGAGGAGGAGGAAAGGGGGCTTGGCTGGCCTTGCTGCTGGAGCATGAGAGAACATCGGGTGGGCACGGACTCCTAGAGATGGGATAGGAGGTTCTGAAGTGTTTTGCTGTCTCTTGATAACAAGCTGCTCTAAAGAGAGACACCAGCTGACCCTTAAGTGTTTTAGTGACTCCTGGCCCCAACCCCATGAGCGTCAGGTGGGCTCCTGTGGACTCCAGAACTGTGGGCCCACCTCCCACTGTCCTCCCTGGGGACCCTCCAGGGGGATGAAGACGCCACTGGGGAAGGGCCGGGTCCTGTCCTGTGCACTCGGGTTCTCTGCCACCACAGGTGACTGTTCTGGTAAACTTCCCACCTCCAATGACACATTCCCACCTCCATTCAAGTCCTCTTAGACAGGGCTCCGGCTTCCTCTGGGCGGCGGCTCCTTTCCAGGACCCAGCCCCGGGCCACCACTGCCCTCTCCTGGCTGCAGCACCACTCTGTGCAGTGCTCACTGACAGCGGCAGAAACTCGCTCCCATCCGCTGTCATAGGGCATTGAGCATTTGAGGAAAAGGGAAAATAAAATCTGGCTGCCAGACAGTTGTCATTCCCATAGATTTGCTATTGAAAATAGATGAAGCAGTTTTTGAAAGAGAATCCACTGTAAAGGGTCATGGATGCTAATACACAAGGGTTGATATCTAGACCCATCCCAGGAGCTAATTTCTGATTAACCCACTGTTTGTAGCATTTAGTTAATTTTGTTTTGGGGAGACTTCAGCGGTGGGGCTGGGGGAGGGGGTCCTTGCTCTGTCGCCCAGGCTGGAGAGCAGCAGTGCAATCACGGCTCGCTGTAACCTCAACATCCTGGGCTCAAGCAATCCTCCCGCCTCAGCCTCCCATGGATGGATTTCCAATTTGGAGGAGGGAAAGTGCGAAAGTGTAGAAAGTTAAAATCTTGTCTACATTGCAGAAAAACTCCCCAGACTGGCCTCCCTCCTCCCGTCCCAGGCCTGGGACTGCCCAGCTCCTCCGAACGGCTTCAAGCTCACTCTGGGTCCCGCACTGGCTACCCTGGTCTGAGAGCTTTCATCGGCATCTCCCTAGAGGCAGAGTTGCTATTTTTCTCTAGCACCAATCTGGGAACTGATACGGTAACTAAGTTGAGTTTATTCCTTATGAAATGAGCAGGGATGGTGTGAATCTCCCCCAAGTGCTGAGGCTCGGGCACCCCAGAAGTGAAAAGCACCTGGCACAGTGCTTGGTATGTAGGAGGCATGGGATGAACTGTGTTAGCCAGTGGCCTGCACAAGCTCATCTTCCCCCTGCAGGGATGGACTGATCACGGCCTCTCCAGGCAGCCGTTTCCGTGGCTGGTCGTTTCCGTGGCTGGTCATTTCCGTGGCTGGTCAGCTAGGCTGTGAAACAGTTGATGCTCCGGAGGTGCCAAAGCTAGTTTCCCACTGATTTGCATCTTCCTTCTTCCTTCCCGCCCAGGAGCACAGTTAGGGTTCCTCATGCAGAGAGAACGGGGTGCATGGCTGGGGTTCCTCATGCAGAGAGAACGGGGCGCATGGCTGGGGTTCCTCATGCAGAGAGAACAGGGCTTTCAAGTGTCGCCTCACATCCTAAAGTGAAATGATACTGGGGTGGCTGGGAGGCTCCGCACCTTGGATGATCATAGCCTTGGTAAACGGAGGCATCTCCTTTCCCCACAAGGACACTGCTGCTGTTGGCAGGAGACAGAGCTCATAGCTGCTGGGGGGCTGTGGCCTGTGCTCCAGCCCTGGGGTGGCTGCTGGGTTTCATGAGCTCTTCTGTCCACCCCCCATCTCTCATAAGGAACCAGGGGTGTAGAGAATCATCCAGTCTCAAGCATGTGTGTAAGGTTGTTCTGGTCAGTATGTCTTCTCACGGCCTTCCTGACACTCTGGTGTAAGGTTGTTCTGGTCAATACGTCTTCTCACAGCCTTCCTGACACTCGGGAGGCAGACAGGGTGACTAGAGAGAGACCCAAAAGCTGCGAGAGTAGGAGATCTAGCTGGTGGCAGCCCAGACGCCCCCACCTTGGGCGTGCCAGGGGCTTCAGCCATGTAGGAGGTCCAGCCGGCTCATGACAAGGGCTGGGCCCCACGTGGCACACTCAGCACTGAGTCCCAGACCACGGCGTCCTGGCTCGAGGAGACCCACAGTTCCCTGACAGGGTGGGAGTGGGTCTGAGGGGCCTGTGTGGGGGTCTGTGAGGGCAGCACATTGTGAGACGCTCATGAGGCGGTCCAGTCACAGCTGCATCTGCCCTGGGGAGCCTGGATCAGCCCCAGGGCAGGAGCCAGGAGGGGTCAGGGTGGGTGCAAGCTCAGAGCAGACACCCCCTACATCACTGTACCAGCCCCTCACCACGATGAGGTCACAGGACAGCTGGGGTCAGGGCTGTCCCTTCACTGGGAATCACAGCAACGCAGCGTGAATCTCAGATGCGGATGAGCCCTCCAGACACTGTGGACTCTGCTCATGCTGACCATCACCAGGGCGAGCACGGGAGCTGCAGACGGACAGCACGGCAGTGCAGCAAGGGGTTTGGGGTGCCGAGGAATGTGCCATCTGTGACATGCACGTGAGCCACAAGGCACAGGGCAGGTGGTGACCAGGGGACCGGCCCAATGAGG